CCTAGAATTAATATATATTAAGATCATAATAGGTTGATGAAGAAGACATAGAGAGAAGATAGTGAAAAGACCACAGTAAATAACTAAAGAAAATCACGCATATGAAGAAGAAAATAAAGAAAAACAATAAGAAAGAAAGAAAAAATAAATCAGACAAAAAAAGTAGGGCCAAAAAAACAAAAATCGAGAAGAAGAAGAAAATAATGAAATGGTAAGAAGAAGAAACAAAACAGACATAAATAATTAATATAATTAAATGATTTTATATAAAGGTAAAAACAAAAAATTGTAATGAAGTTCACAAATCCTTCGTTAAATCATTCTTTCATTAATTATAAAATTTTAAATAATGTTATTCATTGTTTACGTTTTAATTTAACACAAATAAAAAATTAAAAAAAAAATCTATAATTTCATGACAATACTTAAAGATATTCTATTTAGGCATGTTAATTTTCTAAATGCATATAAGTTTAAAACTAACAATGATGCACATTTCGATTTTAGAAATGATAAAATTGTGTACTTTAAATACAAAAATTAACATATTTTTTAAACTATGTCATACCTGCACACGGTGCGGGCCAATAATCTAGTTACAGTGTATAACACTATATAAGAGGAATAAGTTATAATTGGATTTTTAATTTTTAAAGTAAAGACAAATCAACGATTTGGGTTACAAATACTAAAGGCCTACTATGTTTTGGGTTTTAATTTAATTATATGGATTGTTTACATGCCACGTTGGTATTTTTAAAAAGATAACTTTTTATAAATGTCATTTTTGAAATGCTATTTTTCAAAAATATTATTTTTAAAATTTTTATAAAAATGTCATTTTTCAAAATTATTTATTTAATATATCATTTATGTTTTCGTTAAGAGAAATTTTTAGAAATGCCATTTTTGAAGAACAATTTTTCAAAAATGTCACATTTTCAAAATGTTTGCAAAAATACCATTTTTCCAAAATCATTTACTCAATATATCATTTATGTTTGGATTAACCATGTTGTATTAGAGTTTAGTTTTGAGGGTTTATGATTTGTTTGGAGTCAAAACCTTGTTTAGGTCTATAATTTTAAGATTTAGGGTTTAAAAATCTTTAATTAGTTTC